GGACGCATCTGTGAGGAGCGTCCAAATGCGCTGACATTCTTGTTGTGGCAACTTGTTGATACATGTTGCCCCTGCGTACTCCACGGCCTGTAGCAAGGCCTTCCAGTGATCGCTGTTGTCATCCACCACGAGGCTTGTTGGGAAGACATAGTTGTATGTCCATAAGTATCCGTTGCTCCATGACAGAGTTGTTGCAATCCTGGACATGATGCCCTGGCCATTGTTGGATTCCAAAACCCAATGTTGAGTTGAGGCAAGTTCATCTGTTGTGAACTTGATTGTTGATCCAGCTTCCACCTGTAGTTGGGGCATCAAATATGCCCTGTTGAACAAGTTGATGCTCTTGTTGCCCAGCCGCACTAGCTGTTGGCCCTTGTTCACTGTGAACGAGGACAGGATCATCTGTCCATTGTTGGTCGTGAAGTGGCCCTCAGTGTAGTGGTAAAAGGCTGTTGTTACAGCCTGTGTTGGGCTCCTGCTGAGGATCACCTTGTCAAAACTCGGCATGAGTGTTGACCCATTGATCCCCTTGATCTGTTCTGTTGCCACATCCTTCATGGCTTCGTGGAGTTCTGTTGTGGTGCAAAGCCACCACGTTTCCATGTCGTTGTTGTAGGTCTCGTCGTGGAATGCCTGTGGTGCCAGGCATGTTGCGTTGACAACCGATGAGAGCTTGATGGCTCGTGTTGTCAATCCGATTGTTGTCAAAGACAACTTTGCTGGCATTCTGATGGTTGGCTCTTTGATCACGGCGATGTTGGTCAACGACATTGTGTTGATTTCCACGAAGATGTTGATCTTCACAGTTCGAGCTGTTGAGAAATCACTGTGGCTGCGGAAATGAAAACGAAAATGTTGAAGCTGGCTGTTGTCAACAAAATGTTGACATTCAAAAATTGCACAAATCATTCTGTTGAATTCTTCCACTTGTTGGACCTGAAGCTCGGCAAAAAAAGGACAACATGTTGTGTATTACAGACATGTTGTATGGGACATGTACGTGTTCTTCTTCATGTGGTGCACACTCATGTTGGCAGTACATATCGGAAATCACGTTGAAATACTTGATGGGATATCGTGTTGATATACTCCATGATGTAGTTACAGCGAACGATCAATCAACCATTGTTGATCCCATGGCTGAGAGTAGTGAAACTTGTATGTTTAGTGCGCGCGCTGCGGTGCTTGCTGATGTTGCTGCTTGCTTGTTACAAGCTGCTGGTGAAACTGTTTGTCTGTTGCTTCAGTGAGTGTTGAAAAGCTGGATGCTGAGTCCAGCTTGTTGCAGGTGTCGTTGGAGAGTCTCTGTCGAGACATATTTGGTCAATATGTCTGCTGGGTTGTCGTTTGTGTGGATTTTGATGAGTCTCACGCAGTCATGTGAGATCAGTTGTTGTATGAACAAATGTTTGAGTTCGATGTGTTTTGCTTTTCTTGAAGATCCAATTCTTGCTGCCATACTTTTACCACTTGATGAATCTGTATGGATCTTGATGTTGATCTTGTTGATACTGAGAAGCTCGATCAAGAGACTTCTGATGTGGAGTGCTTCTGTTGCAATGGCATATAGCTCGGCCTCTGCACTCGAGAGTGCTATCGTTGCTTGTGTCCTGCTGCCATAGTTGATTGTTGTTCCAAGCAATGTGATGAGAAATCCTGTTGTGGATCTTCTTGTTGTAGGACATCCTGCCCAGTCGCTATCCACGTAGACGTTGATGTCTGGAATTGCCTTTGCTGGAATCTTCACCGTTGGTCGAATGATCTGTTTGTAATCTTTGGTTCCTTTGATGTATCTGAGAAGGTGCTTGAGCTTTTGTTGATCTGCTGTTGTTGGTTGCTGCAGTGCTCTTGCTAGCTCCTTTGTTGCATAGCTGATGTCGGGTCTTGTGTAGGTCATCCATTGAAGCTTCCCGACTGCTCGTCTGTATTGTGAATGTTCTTCTGTTGAAAGAACTTGATCGTGGTCTGCTGTTGCTGCTTTCAAAGCCGATGTGCCGGGTGCTGGTGCTGGCTTGCTGTCTTGTAGTTTTGTTTCTGTCAGAAGTGTTGTGACGTACTCATCTGACAAGCTAATCTCGTAGTGATCTCCTCTATTGGTAATGTTCCTGCCAAGGAATGCCACTGCATTTCCTGGTGATAGTGTACCTGTTGGTCGTAGAAGAAGCTGTTGTTGAATCGCCTTGAAGATCTTGTTGACGGTCTCCTCCTCGCCAAGAAAAAGAAGGTCGTCGACGTACGCCAGGACAAAGCAGTTGCGTGTTGTTGTCATGTAGATGTTGGGCTCTGCTGTGCTGCGGTGGAGTCCAATCTGTTGAAGGACTTCTGACAGATGTTTCTGCCATGCTTTTGGACTGCTGCGTAGTCCGTAAATTGCTTTCAATAGCTTCCACACGATGTTGTCCTCCGGGTTGTAGAACTCCTTTGGCGGGTACATGTAGAGGTCCGCTGTTGCTGCTGCTGCATGTAAGAATGCTGTGGAGATGTCTCCTGTGATGCCGAT